ATCGATCGATCGATTAGAGTTGACGGCACCGGTCGACGGACGGGAAGTGAGCGGAGAGACGTTGTTAGCCGATTGATCGGTCGCGATTAGAAAGGACGTAGCAAAAATATCGAGGAGCTCTTCATTCGAACGGACATACGTTATTACGCTAATATGCTAAGTATTAAGCTTTCCGCTTAAGTAACAGCACAGCCAATTTCGCGCGATACAAAACGAAAGAGGAAAAATCAACGAAGCGCGCTCGCGCGTGCGTGCGTTAAGCTCGGACAATACAACCGATTTTCTCAATTACTAATGGCGGGGACCGGTCGCTGATAATAGCGTTTCTTGTCGACGACCCTTCTTCCGCGTTTTGACTTCCGTCGACCTAACGTCGCCGCCAATATCTTGCTAAGGCGAGGCACGCTTTATCGCGAGCACGCGGCAAAACTTTGATATGTGTGTTGCTTTCCCGAGTGCTTCGCGACGCCAGTGAAGATATATAGGTGTCTCTCGGTAGTCAAGGCACTGGACATGCGCATAACCGGACATGAGAGTATTGTCGGCTGGAAGGATTGAAAACTCGCTGTTATACTCTTCTTCATCCTTCGCAACGTTATCGAAATGAACCGTTGTGTGTCATCCTCGAGTTCCGGAAACCTCCGTGTTCCCCCTTACGGTCGTCGAGCAACAACCTCTCATTCCGTGATCGCATTCTTCCGTCCTGAATAGAAAATCCTCCGAATATAGAAAAGTTCGAAAAAGGTCCTTCTGCGTAGCACAATCACTATAAAATCGATTTCGACCGACGGCAAAGGATTCCGCTCGACATAGCGGCGGTGCCATACGGCGGCCTCATACTGTCCTTATTACGTCGAGCGGAAAGACGCGTTTTGGAAGACGAGACGAATTTTCTACGTCGGTATCGATTGGCGACCGTCCGAATCGGCCGGAAAACGCGAATTCTCTGCCGTCGCTCTATACATACGATGCACATCGCGGATAAAATTAGAATTCCAGCGTCATTGACTGCCGCGAACTACCACCAAACAGTCCTCTGAATGTATATACGTTCAATGGTACCAGTCACGACAGCGCGATATAGCCTTCCTCTTCGCGACGACACCCTTCTTTCCTATATGTGGCCGATTGTTAAGAAACGCAGTCAGTCGATTGGTAGCACACCTAATTTAAAGGTCACTTCGGTCCTTTTTCGGAACGACATGTATCGCCGACGACTGGTGGATCATTTCGTACAAAAGATAATCATCATTGTTGGTTGGACACTACTCTCACTCCCCTCGTGAACTCCTTCTTCTTGAGGCATCGCGCGTTTCTTCTTGCGTTCTCCCATAAATGACGACAAAGCACTCACGGATTGGTCTTCTCATCCACCATCGTCTCTCACTGATTTTTAACACTGGGCTTGCGCGCTTCTCTCGATCCTTTCTCAATTCTCGCAACGTTCGCGTAATTTTCCAGTCACGATATGGACGTCCGCGCAGGCTGTTCACTACCGAAAGCTGCCACACATTACGATCCGTCTCCTCACCCACTACGCCCTCCCTGGGCGAAGAGGAGCGTTCTGTTCACGCGTTTTTCCCTCTAACCTATGACGAATCCCATAATATATACACAAAAGTATGCACGCGCCATGAACTCGTCGTTCACTTCCGTTCTCCCTCTCCCTTCTTCGATATCGAATAGTTGACCGTCACTGCGCAAGCTCCATCCCTGTTCGCTCACCACCACCCTCGCGCGTACGTAATCCCTACGTTCGTCTCCAGGATCTTTAACTACTCTTCGTTTCGAGACGAGGAAAAAGTCACAAAAATAAATTCCGAGACGAGACATTGTTGGGAGTACTTACCTATGTTTTCAATGAAGAAAATGTCATTTTAACACTCGTCAACCGAGAGTCATTCAAGTCGCGCTGATCAACGGTCGGTAACGTCATTCCTTTAATTCGAAACTTGCGTTTTCTAATTCGCCAAAAAACTATAAATCAAACTGTTCAAGGTCGTTAAAATATTTTCATTATGTACACATTGAGTTTCTTCTTCAGGCGGCGTTTTCAATCAGCGTCAGCCGAATATATTCGTTCGATGAATAAATTGGAGCTAAACTTCCGGCGGACTTGATGTCCAGTTCTGATCCAAGGCGAAGCGAAGGAACAACGTGAAAGATTTATCGCGCGCCACGATCGATAGTGAAATAAACCTGTATTCTTTTCCCGCACCAGCCCGTATTAGAATAATTGAAGCCAATGACACACTCGCTCTGTTGGCAGTACCAAAATTCAACGAATTTTTCAGCTTGACTGTCAGTTAATAATAATAATAACTCTCTTTAGCTTAATATATTTACGTGATAAAATTGAACGTCATAGAAATTATACAAAGAAATGTAAATAATATATATAAGCAAAAATAATGTGATATAAAGTAAAATTACATGTAAAGTAAGATTTATAAAATCGCATGTGTAATAGAACGGTGTCTCGTGAAAAAAATCAGCAAATGCAGAGAATAAATTAGCAGTCATTCACTATCTATTTATATAGGAATTTAAACCATATACAGTTTTGTGCTGCTCAGCATGAAAAACCGGACAATGTCTTAAGAATCATAGCGGAATATTCTCAATTTTATTAATTCTAATATGTTTCAAAAGTAGTCAAAGTTAAAGGGATTAAATGTGAAAAAGATCATCAATCAATCTTGTAAAGACAACTGATTCAGTTAGCCAAAAATCGATTGAAACTCATCCAGGCGCGTTATTGACATTCAGACGATAATTAGTAAAAAATTATTACACATATTTTTCTACATAAACAACTCTGTATAACATATAAAATAGCAAACTAAGTATACTTATATATTTCCTAGGAAATTCTCTCTCTTGAATTTCTCTCAGGCAATTATAGGCAATTTAACTTCGATATCATCCTCTTGGACAAACTTTTTCATCGTGATATTTTTTTATTTAAACGTAACCGTTGCAAATTATCGGCGTCGAATGTTTCTCCGATTAAATAATGTTTTGAACTTGGGCGAAATAAGAGAGAATTTAATTATACATCCAGGGGCACGTGAAATCATCGTCATCCTCGATCGTTTACGACTATCGATATCTCGACGTTAACGAAGAATTTATTTCAAACTAGTCAAAGACACCCTATATAGAGGTTATCAGATCCTTCAGTGGCTATTTCGGGGTATCGACCAATCAATGTTAAGGTTGGCCACGCCCACGATAACTCAAGGATTATCAAAATTCATCCGGAGCGCGGATTATCCTTGACTTACTTATATTGTTCGTTCATATGCCAATATATAATTTATGAACGTGTTATTAGCCGTGCTAAAAAAGGAGTGCTAGCGATAAGAAGAGGGAGAAAACACAAAAACAATTTAATTGGGGGCACGCGTTACAGTCGTTGTTAATCGATCATGCGCGCACACACAGCGAGGTATAAAACACACAGACGATGAAGGAGAAACTCGTTTGTGAAACAGTGCGTGTTTGTGGGGGCTCAACGGCAAATAAAATTATTACGCGAATTGTCGTAACACGCGATTGTTCTCGTGGACCAAACCTTTATCCCGCTATTACGTTGATCAAATGGATCTATTGTCCGCATCTGATTATTCGTAGAAAATAAACGGCATACCACACGTTACTCCACCTTCCTCGTTTCTTTAGCATGCGTTAATAAATATACGCGTCAATTTCATGCCACGTACAATTCGTCAATTATCAATCGTTTCGTTATATCATTATACTTATGAATTACAGAACAGTTGAAAATCATGCGATTGTTGCTGACAAATTTCTAAAACATACTGAAAAGAAACGAAACGACGTTTTTGCCATCGGCTAATTTAAGCCGTCGTTAATTGATTCTCTCATATTAGCCACGCTTCGATCAGTCGAGATTCACGTGGAATGTTTTTCACCGCCTCTTAGGCGCACAATTTATATAGGTGATTTCTTCCGATTACATTACACGAGTGGATGTCTTTGTATAGCACATATGCGTCTGTGATTCCGAGCAACGTGCGATAATAATTCATCGCAACGACACACACGTGTCGATCGATTGAGATGTAAATTGTCTTGCCAAGAGAGAATTCACTCAACATTTATTTGCCGGTAATTCCCGGTTCATATCAATCAATACGCGTACTAAATAGTCGATTATCTGCCATTTATTTTTTGGCATCGTATACGATATTTTTTCAGAATTCTTTGCACAAATTGCCACATTTCAGATTTTCTCGTGTGGAATACATATAATTCGATCCATTTACCATAAAAATAGAAATATGTGGGTATGGATGTATATTTGATTTATTTATACGCACGTATTTATTTTCATTTATATTCAACACGAGAAGCACTAACTAAGTGTATTTCCAAATTATAACTGGAACAATAACAAACGAATGCATCAGATGGGAAGTTTATAAATGTTCTTCGTGAAATCTCTCAAGAAGCTCGAAGTGGCGCTATCGCACGGTAGATGTAGCAAGTTTTCGAGCATACCCGAGTAGAATGTGCCATCTAGCCGCGGCAAAGGGAGGGAAATTATTGATCGTAAAAATGGCGCCAACGCCAAGTTGTGCGAAGGAGGATATAAGTTACGATAGCTTTGTCGGGTTGAATCAATTCGTAAGTGCTCGTTCCTTTTTTGTTCGTTAAAATAACGAGGCTCTTCCGGCAACAATAACGTCGCGAATGAATACTTCGATAACTTTTGCATTCATAAAAGAGAGAAGTAAAGTTCCCGAAATTCTTGCAAAAAATTCCGAAGGATATAATATTAAGAGATTGATTAAAAGTGCAATTTGAACGAAATTTAATTGGCCTAATTATATCTGTAAAAGTAATCTGTAAAGTAACTCCAGAATATAAAATCGATAGTACTGTCTACGTGCATAGATCTCTTATATAATCTAATAAGTCACGTTACATTAAGACGTTTTTTAGATAATAAGAATGGTACGATACGATAAAATTCTGACGATAATTGACATATTAACAGTTCTCAATTCCACGATTTTATAATATTTATGATCCCACGTCGAAAGATGTCAGGAAGCATCGGTTTCAGTCGATTAATATCGCGTGTGAGAGATACTAAAAACAAGAAAAAGTAAGGAAAAATCGAATATAATTGACACTTGCGACGATCAAAGAGGCGGCAGCTAAGCATACGCGATTACATTGGACCAATAGGCGAAATGAAAGTAGCGTAATGTCACAGCATGTTTTTTATTTCCTACATATTTCCAAACCGGATGATCGAGAGCTCCCTGCCGAAAGTACGATATAGCAATCAGGAAAAATGAAAAATTAGACTTACAAGGAAAACGGCCAGGACGTTTCGAGCTTCTGCGATGGGCGCTTTTCGTGTTTCGCAGCATGTCGATTTTCAATTCCGTGGCAACTGCATGAAAAAAGAAACAAAGAAGAAAAGATTAGTCAATCATTGAGATTGGGTGTGGATTCGTAAAGGAATGCCTGATCTTTCACGAATTCATTGTTGCTCTCTGCCGCATAGCGGGAACAAAGTTTTTCGACAAAATCTACCGACGGTATAATTTTCAATTGATTTCAAAGATTTTCTTTTAACTTATGAAATTCTCTGTGACCTGGTACTGCGAATTTTTTTAAAACAAAGCTTATATTAAAAATGGCATAAATGATTATCGAAAGAACTGAAATGATGTTGAATATGATACATCACTTATAATATTGAATATATTTACACCATGTTTATATTGTTTTTATTGTGTATATTATATTTTAATTCGTTAACTTTTATTTTATAATTGTTTCCTTACACTTTATTCTACCGTTTTCAGGTACAAAAAGTAGGTGAATCCAAACTGTCATTAAAGTAGAGTGAGTTCAGGAAGGTGAACTTCACACGGGTTTATACAGTTTATAAAATAATATATAATGTTTATATAAAAATAATATATATTTTATATTGCTAAAAATATTATATTTCTAAATATAATACTTCGATTTAATGGATTGTTTATAGATTGCGAGATTTCTTATTTAAGAAAGAAGAAGACTGATTATTCAACTATTGGCGAAAAGCAATTCAAAACTATTGCAAACCAATATTATTTAATCGGTTTTTTTGCCAATAGTCAAATAGGCCAACACAATATTTTTGTGCTAAGGTTTTTTAATATTACGAAGCGAATTTACAGAGCGACACGATATCCAATAGGAGAACAGCTTTCCAATGAAGAATTGAATTCTCTATTAGAAAACTATTCTTCCATTGAATGTCGCACGCTGCGTGAATCTTCCATTAGAAGGTCCCTGGCATGTTGTATGAATATTAATACAACGTGTCCTGCAAGACTTCTGGGATATTAATAGAATGAGTTCAGACGAACATTTTCACGTTATATGACTTACATCGGAATCATGTGACCCCCTTCAAACCAAACAAGTTTCGTCTGAAGTAATTTTCTCTACAATCAAAAATAAAAAAGTTTTTAATATGGGTAAATTAAAATAGGACACCCTGTATATATAATTGAACATTTTCCTTTTTTACTGTCTGTATGCCAGTGCATGTAGCAATTCATTAAAATGAAAACATTCTCACTCCGCGAGACATATATTTTTTTCAGCAGTTAAGTAAGATACGTAGTTATTAATATATTGCTCATTGAAATTAAAAATACAGGTAAAATATAGGTAGAATATTGAGATAAAGATGAATTAATTCCGAAGTAATCGTCTGTCTCTTCAGGCGTGAAAAACACGAGACAACGACGACATTATCTTGAAATTCTCCATTGTTCCGTAACATATTTGCCGATAATTGGCAGTTTGATGAAGTTCTACGCAACTATTTTATAACAGATTATATATAGATGATGAAATTTACCAAATCGCCAACTGTCGATAAATGTGATATAGAATAGTTGCCCGGCGGGGGAGAAAGAGCGGAAAATAAAAGATGGATTTAATTGACAATCGGCATTGCCAGTCGACTAAAAGTTCGGACGTGTCGTTCACGTGTAAATTTAAAAATGGATGCTGTGCAATATCTAAGAGCTGACCGGCATATTATTGATAATTGGTCATAAAAATCAAGGACAAGCCACGGTCCTGCTGTATGCGTTTCTCCCAGAAAGGCGCACATTTCCGTAAGCTATACGTAAGGCAATATGGCAGCTTGCGCGCATCAAGGAAACCGCATCGTGTCCCTTGAAAAGCAGAGGAAATGCGGTGAGAACGGCACTTGTAAATAATCCGCATACAAGTACACGAATACACAAGTATACTAAGGTGCACCAAATTATTAAAAATAACTTTGGGTGGCGCCCATTTAAAAGACACGCGTAAGCCAGCGGTTATTTTTCCGGCTTGCCTTGCCGAGGGACATTCTGTAATTGGGTATTAGACTAGATAAGTGCAGAAAGAATGTGTCGTCGGGATAAATGGCAATAAATTTGCAGTGAATATATTATTTTATACTATTGTCTTTCAGATCGACAACGTAGAAAATTAAGCCTTCCCGAAAATGGACTGATGAATGCTACCTTTCGTAGTGACGGAAACATTAATCACAATGAGCATCATTATGCGGTTGAGAATCCCCATTGTCATAAAATTGTTCATATATTGGGGTAGTATAGCGTTAATGTTTGAATGGGTATTCTTGACGACAACATTATCGTATATTTACCCAGAAAATATCAACATTAATGCTGAGGTATATTTCTTAAAGGAAATTAACGGGAGATGTGACTTGGAACATTTGATACAGACAGAGTGGCGTAATGGCAACGATTAGATGAAACAATCCATTATCCATCAGCTACACCGTTCCTTGCCTTCATCAGCCGGAATGTGTTACAAAATAAAAACTTCGAGCGGCGTTATTTTGCGCCTTGAAGGAGCGAAAATTACCGGGAACAAAATTTCTTTATTTTTTCCATAAAATACGAATCTACAATAAAACATAGGCGTTTCTATCGCTAAAAAGTCAACCTAGGCCTTATTGGGCTCAAAATGGACCCAAAATCTAAGTAGCTCATGTGATGGCCCCCTTCAAACCCTACAACTTTTATTTGAAACATTTTTTTTCGATAATACAACGTTTTCGAGATATTTTGGCGTCTATTTTACAATGGGACATCCTGTATATAATTTAGAAGATTCTGAGACAGAACTTTTAATCTTCCAAGATATATACATATTTTATAAATCGATACATAAAACTGGTTAGCTGAAATTCAATTCATCGTTCAAATGATCATAATTGAAAAGTTACTTTTATTAAAAGGAACAGACCTATTAGCAACAATTGTTACAGTTTTGCAAGCGGCTACTATAATGGCCATTCGTATAAACAGAGGAACAGTTTCGCAGGCGGCCACTACAGTGACCATTCACCGTGAAAAGGTTAACAATGGATAAAACTGCGCGCGAAATAAGCCTATGAATACTCTTTCAGAATATCAAAGCTGGAACGAACAAACCAGATGAATCGTGACTTTACGACCGAGTGGTACTGGAACAAAATTTCAAATATTCGTTAAAAACAATGGTGAGTCATAAGTGGAATTTTCATATTACATTCAGTTGATGGAAATGCATTAATGGAAGCGTGAGAAACGATTCCAAAATGACGATATCTGTTGCGTCTCCAAGCAGATTCTTATCAAAATGTTTTTAACTCCTAAGATCCTGACATCAATTTACACGTGTTGTCTCTTAAATAAGGCTTACTTTGGATGTCAATAATTTCATGGAATTAATTAATATACAATTATATTAATCAACGTCATATTAATTATACTAATATAATCTGTCACACTAACTGTTTGACTAACGACAAAAATACCAACATATTTCACAACAAAACCAACTAAAAGTATATGATCGCAGAGTAACTCCGGTTGAGAATTAAAAAAAAAAGGAAAAAAACAATAATTAAGCGTAATATATGCAAAAATTACTTGATAATAGAATGTATTTACGACAAATCTGAGAGAAAAAAATGCACAAATAGCTAAAGCTTAAGATAGCAAGGTGAAGATATACGGAAGACCATAGAAAACGATAAATGACTCATTTTCTGTAATCTTACTAGTCGGTATAATGATTAGATAAGATGGGCCTCTCTGAATTTTTCACTTCTCCGATGAAAAGGAAAAGTAATAATATGTGAGGAAGAAAGAGGTGGCTTCATGATAACGATTCAACCAATCCGGACTACTACGGTACTGATTCAAAGTCAAGACGGACTAGGTCGTATCCAGTCAAATTCAAGTAGCACCGCTTAACACTACTAAATTCATTCCAGTTCACTGTAGTTTCAATTTTATTACTGTCACTCGATGATACATCTGAGTACATATAATTAAATAAAAGTACTCGCAACACTTTACAAATGAATAATCTCGACTGTTATTTTTATTGTTCCATAAGATTACCGGTAACGCGCTTTAAATAAATTCACGTGAAAATATGTTGTTCACCATGAAAAATTATCACATTGCTGAGAGTGCACTAATAGTTGCTCGAGTTAAGTGCAGCGCTTTTATCCGCATTAATATGCAAGTGCAAGTTCAGATGTAAATCTCGAGAGCATCACAACTGTCTAAAGTACTTTAATTTCTCATTCTGAAGGCGAATCGATGTTAATTACCTGCTCGCAGTGCTACTTATCTGTAGTTACAATATTTTATTTCTTTCTCTTGCCCGTAATATCGGGATATTTTCAAGAACATTTTAATATCGCTGTTAGTGTACAACTTGAGAAATGAAACTTTTCGATTTTGCATTCATACTGTCATCGCAGATTATCGTTGATTTCGTTAAGGAGAGTTCTCAAATTGTAGACTTCAAAAAATCGATTTCTTATTTTATGCATTTTCTTAAAGATTTAATATTTTCGGAACATTTTAAGCCTTATTTAAACAGATTCTGAGTAACGATTTGGTATAATGAATGTTTTCATTAGTCAAAGTAATGATAATGTATTGTCACATCTACATATGTATATATGTATATTGGATAACAAATATAATTGTAATTTTTAAATTCCGAAAATTGGTCAAGTTAGAATTTAACCTAAACGGCGCGCAATTAGCAATTGCGAAACAAAAGCAAGAAGAAAACATCTACAAGCTTCACACAAGAAGCCAGAACAGCCCGCAGAAACGAGCAAGCAGCTCTATATGAGTTTTACGAAGAAGAGTTAAGCACACTTTATGGCTTTGAAATCGCAGAATAGCTGTAAAATATCATGAATTATTTCCAATGTACTCTAAAATAATACTGCAAACTTGCAAAGCCAAATTCCTTTACCAAGTTCCTCGAAACGACATTTGTCAAATTAGTTGGCAACTTTTCTCGGAGACCAATGAACCGATTACCTTTGGACAAACTTTTACATATAAAAAACATTATTTTCCTTCTTACGAATATACAGAATTTCAATGTTTGTAAAATTTTTTTTATCGAGCAAAAACAAATATATGAAATCAAAACTCTTTTCTTTGTCATATTGCTACTTTCTCAATTCTCATTTTTTCCCAAATTTCTACATTCATATGAGAGACGCACTCATATAGATTAAGAATTTTCTTGAAAATTTGGTTAATCATATCTAGAACCAGAGGAAACCTGCCAACCGTCCGGATAAATCTTTTCGCGACGTCATGTTGCGATAGACCGCGATTCAGTAACGAGATAATGTATAGCTTTGAAAAAACTAAGTTGCTGTGGGAAATATAAATAAATGCATACACAAAATTTCAAATCGATCGAAGTAATAGTTTCTTGAAAAAACCCTGAAAAAAATACCTATTTTTCAAGCCTACAACCAGAGAACTCTTTTTTTATTTTTCTTAGCTGCAGTATCAAATATTGGGGAAAAAAGCAGAAAGAAACGTTTGAGAAGCTATAGGCCACATAAATATTAATTATTGTGAAACTTACCTTCGCAATTTCATGTACACATACGAGGTCTGTTCAAAAAGTATCGCGAATTTTGAATTTCCGTGGGTTACATATATTCGATTTTCCATTTTTTTTGTGGCGTTATGTTGGTACTCATGTCCCTCACTTATGCCGACAAGTTCGGCCATTTTGAATATTCAGTTTATCTTTGACAGCTGTTTTGCTTGGACGTGTTTTGGCTCGTCTTCGATTTTTGCCTATTCCAAAAAATGGATCAAAGAATCTAACAAAATTAAGTGCGCGGACGCATTCCGAATGTTGACTGTGGCATATAGTGAAGATACCTTGGACCAAAGTAACGTTTATCAGTGGTACAAAATGTTCTCAGAGGGCCGAGAAGATGTGAACGACGAAGAGCGTGCCGGACGCCCGAGCACGTCAAAAACAGACGAAAACATTGATGAAGTGAAAAAAATAGTATTGGCCAATCGTCGAATCACCGTTAGAGAAGTTGCTGAGGACCTAAACATATCGATTGGCTCGTGCCATTCGATTTTTACTAATGATTTGGGCATGAGACGGGTCGCCGCGAAATTCGTACCAACGCCCCTGCTCACACACCGTTGCTTGTGCGCGAATTTTTGGCCAAAAACAACACACTAATGATGCCGCAGCCACCGTATTCCCCAGACCTGGCCCCCTGTGACTTTTTCTTGTTCCCGAAACTGAAGAGGCACATGAAAGGACGACGCTACGCTACGATTGAGGAGATAAAGACGGCATCGAAGGAGGAGCTGAACAAGATCACAAAAAATAATTTTTTGAAGTGCTTCGAGGATTGGAAAAAACGTTGGCACAAGTGTATAATATCTGATGGGAATTACTTTGAAGGAGACAAAATAGATATTCATGAATAAATAAATAATTTTTGAAAAAACACAAAATTCGCGATACTTTTTGAATAGACCTCGTACATACACATACACTGGACGTGCGCGCACATGTGCACACGCTCACTCGCATGCTTGTACGCACTCAAGGTTGGAAAGTTAAAAATAACTCGTTATCATTATCCATTAAAAAAAGTAACTCGTTACCGTTTTATATTTCAAAAAATAAAAACGTTACAATTTTCATTACTTTCTTTACCCACTTTTGAAGACGATTCATTGTCGTCTGTACACGGTGTTGCATCAAATACAGTAGAACTCGGTAAGCACTTTCCAACCTATCATCGGGAGGCTCCGCTTCGCTTTGTTTCTTTTATCACCTCACGCGTTTTTTGTGTGATGTTTCCAGTATGTCTAATAAATGAGAAAACTAACTGATTAGATAGAAGCAGAATAAAGCTGAAGCATATAATATACATGCACGAAGAACATTCTGCTTCTGTCCAATCAGTTAGTCTTTTCACTTATTAATGGACTAAGCTTACTGAGGATATTACTTAAAAAAAAAAGAAAAAAGCAGTAGTATCTTATAGATGATATGGAAAACTCTTGAAGACAAATATTCATAATTAAAATAAAAATTTAATAAGAAATATAGCATCATTAAAAGAAGATCAACAGATCTTCTGATTTTTCTCTCCTCTACAGGTCCTGTAGCATGATATGCGACGTTCCTGAGACTCGTAAGCTGAGCGTGGAGCAATGAGGCAAGGGGAAACAATACAAGGCGAAGCCTCCCGAAAATAGGCTGGAGTGCAAGTGCATCGCTTGCCGAGCTCTGAAATACGGGTCAGTAGGACGGATTGCCTAATTATTTTGCTTTTTAGGCACGCCAACTGCAAAATGCACCATGTATTCCGCAAAATAACGATACAAATTTGTTATTGTTATTCAAAACATATGTAGTTGTAACAATGCATTACCGTTACCTTAATTAATAAAAAAATTATTTCCGTTACCAAATCGTTACTTGGAAAAGTAATTATAGCATTTCATACAACGTATTACTTTCCAATCCTGTGCGTATGCATACGCACATGCACGTGCCCACACACATGCACACACTCTCACGCACGCGCGAAAACACACACACATTCTCTCTCTCTCTCTCTCTCTCTCTCTCTCTCTCTCTCTCTCTCTCCTTCCGTCACGTATGTATACACAGGTATGTAAAGGAAAAAATAATTAAGGATAAGTACAACGATCAAGATAATCTCGACAACCGATAGTGATATTATATTTCCGCTGCGCATGCATTACGGGATAAAATAAAAACACGAGGTACACTTTACAAGTTCATACGCTATCAGCTCGATATATTAGATCCAGTGTAATGACATAAGAGATTAAATAATCGATGTCAAAAGGTCGATGGCAGTAGACAAAGAAACGAAAGGTCCAGAAATGTCGAAGCATGCATGATTATGCGAGCATTTAAGAGGCTGTATTTTTTCTAGAGAAAAATAAGGAAGGTAAGATATAAATATATAGGATGATTTATATAAAGTAGCTGATGTAATTATTTGCAATATTTAGATATAAAAAAAATTAGATTTAAATTAGGAAAATTAGATATAAAGAAAATAATTCGCACAAGGGTGTTTAACCCTTTGTACTCCGGAGCGGAGCCATTTAAAATTTGTCTTCAAACTCGAGGGCTCCGCTATGGAGACAATGCAAATAACTTTCAGTTCATAACATAAGGACAAAGACAAATCGTAAAAACTATTGTGTATAGGATATTCCGCTCTTGCTATTTGCATTTGAGTTTGAAGAGTTTGAAGACAAATTTTAAATGGTTCCGCTCCGGAGCCCTCGAGTGCAAAGGATTAATATAGAGCATGACATCATATGATGAGAATGATTATTTTATAATTGAAAACGTTAAGAAGATCTGAAAGTCAACATTTTTATTTTTTAAATAGAATAATATATTTCCAGAGATTGCATCTTTATCCTGATATTTTTCAGCATAAAATATTAAAAATTTTTAACGGCTTTTCCTTAATACTTTTATACATAGAACATTAACACGTTGACTGCCACGGAACTTTTCACGATTCTGGTCTAAGAAGCCAATTTGATTTAATCAGGTAATGAAGCGACGAGATAACTCGTAGTTGGCGTCCTGGGCAAATAAACAACCTACGAGATATCTCGTAGTTGGCAGTCAACGTGTTAACAGGAATTGATTCATATCCATTTCTATGTGTGTACACAGATGCATCCATGCGTCTGCAAAATATAGTGGAATATAATTTATTCCTATTTTTCATTAATCCAATCCTTTCATCATTATAAGTATAAAAGAATTAAGGTAAGGTCATCAAAAAATGAATAAGAGATATTTCATACTTTATAATGGAAAATATATATTAAAACAAAATATGTAAAATATATCAGAAAATAGGTTTATGTTTTTTATGAGATCTTACTTGAATACTTTTATAATAACGAGTAAAATAAATTTATATCCGAGAAACGATTATTGTTGTCTTTGAAATGTTCCCAACGTCTTTAAAGTAATCGTTTTCACCATATGAATGTTTCTTTGTGTATCGGACATTCTTGTAAGAATCAAATTTTATTGTGAATTTTGCGAATAATTGCACCGGTCATTCTATATATATATATATTACTGTGCATATATACAGGGTACATGAAAAAGTCGGGACCCCGGAATATCTCGAAAATATGTTTTATAAAAAAAAATGTTTCAGAAGAAAGTTTTAAAGTTTAAAAGATTTTACTGTTTACTGATCTTATCGGTTTGACCTTAGATGATGTCGCCAAAATCAGGTTATCTTGAGTTTTTTTTCAATGAAACCCTCTAATTTTTTATCGCATATTCTTACAGTCCTTCTTGAGACCTTTTCAAAACATTATGATTTTATCGATTTTTGAGTCAGCCGTTTCATCTGGGATCATCCTCCGATCTTGCCTTCATTGGCTGGATCACCTTCCGATCTTGCTTTCGTTGGCCGGATCATCCCTTCGATCTTGCCTTCGTTGGCATTTTACGATAAAAATTTCGATAACTTCGACTGACTCAAAGTGAATAAAATTGTATTGTTTTCAAAAAGAATCAAGAAGAGCTAAAAAAGTGTGAAATAAAAAGGAGGGAGTTTCATTTGAAAAATTCGATAATGTGATCTTGCCCTGATCTTGGCGACGCCATCCAAGATCAAACCAATAAGACCAATAGATTCTTTTAAACCATGTAATTATTACCTGAAATATTTTTCATGAAACTTCTATTTTTCGAGATATTCCGGGATCCTTTTTATGCATCCTGTATACGAGTTATATACAGAAAGAAAGAGGGGGAGGAGAGAAAGAGAGAAGCAATGGCAGATCGATAATATATATCGAGTGATTAGCTAAGAGATATTACATAGAAATAGTAAAAGTAGAAGTAGAAGAAAATTCGAGCGTAAGGAATAAAATATGTGAAGGCAAAAAATAATGTAAGAGTCAATGTACCCTATTGTTCACAGATCTGCGATGGTGATCGCCCGGCAGTCCCGACAATAGTCCAATTCCTACCAACACAATAACATAATAATCAGTGAGCTTCAATATGATCGCCGCTATTACGCTAAGTCGCATTAATAACAACATAGGTATGAAAAAGTACTGCATAATAGATTCAGATGTTTCTTAAGTACACACATATAGCATGAATATTTTATGCTCGAATGAAAACGCCGCGGAAACGCGATACGCGTTTCGAATTTCGCCGTTCGCTGTAATTTACGGGCGAATGCATCGCGAACTTTCAGTTCCATCGTAACGATCGAAGTGTGATCTTTAATTTCAAATGACTTTCGGGGAAATTCAACGAAAAAATTCGCGTACTGGTCCTTCTTTCAATACATGGCCACTATCCCACTTCTCGCAACGACAAAAGTTTTTTTATCACGTTCGCCAAACGGATATCTTACTCTCGTGGTGACTGATATGCACTAGTTCAAATGTGTAGTTTAAGATATTAGATATTTATAGAGCCCTCTCAACGGCTACGAGATGCGACTGTCGACAGAGATTGTAGAGATACGGGGTCGCTGCCATTCTCCAAACACTCGTTCTGTTCCTTCCCTGCGGCTACTACATGGCGGCGGTGGCCTCTTAGACCTTTCAGGCCTCCCGCAGCTGCTATACTACGTCTGTGACATTCAGGCCCACTCGAAAAACGCCTTCAACCAACGCCTATTTACAAGATGTGGATAATTCTCATGGTCAAAGAGATCTGGGTCACTGATTCGGGCTAGCATGAAAGGGGAGGGGGG